GGCTGGTTGAAAATTCAATTTTAACATTCTGTTATATAGGTTTCTTTTCTGGGAAAATTCTCACAAGTTTTAATATAGCATGACTAAAGCAAACCTGGAAGAGAAATTGAACTGCCTTCCTAGACTGGCTGTCTCATGCATGACCTCTACCCCTGACTATTTGCTGAAAATATCCTCCTTATTTTAAAAAATGGCAGGAATTTTAGGGGGCTAGATTGTTGTAGGATTTCTGATGAAACTACAGACCTTAAACCCTACCTCAAAAAATTCCTGCAAGAGTTCAAAACATTTCCCCTTTACTGTATTTTTCTTATCTCCCATCACATTCTGCAAAACTCCTACACAGAGGCCTTTGCTCCTCAGGTTTCTAATCTAAGAAGTACCACGTGTCAAGTCCAAGGTCTCTGGACAGAGAGATTACATTGGGGAAGGCAAGGCTGTAGCTTTCATGGAATCTGGCACCCACAATAACCTCTAGCTGTGAATCATTGGGTGAGGGACTTCCCCATCTGGCTAACGACTTCAGTTTCTTACATGAGAAAGGAGGAAGTTGGATTCCATGGCTTCAAATGATCCATCCTTGAAAATCCTATGACTTTGATTCTAAATTCACAAGGGAGTAGGGCATAGATGCTTACACCTTAGGTTAATTTTAAGAATTTAAAAAACCCTCACAAAAAGATGGAGACAAACAATGATGGTAGACAATTTTGTGGTAGATTTTTTTTTTGAAGCATAATTTATTTTTATTTTGTCTCGGTCTGGATGTTTTTTTAATTTTTCTTTCTTTTTTTAAAATTTTTTATTTTTTCATATTATGGGGGTACACATATTGTTAGGGTTACATATATTGCCCCTGTCATTCCTCCCTCCTGCCCCCCACCTTACCAAAACATCAAGCGTGTCCTACCCTCAGGTGGTGTGTGTCGCACCTATTTTGTAAGTGTAAATTCTTCCCTCCTCACCCCTCCCATTTGCCCACCACCTGATAAAAGTTTGTTTGTTTGTTTGTTTTTTCCCTTTTTTTTTGACCTTTGGGTTACATTGTATATCTTAGCCTTTCCCTTGGAAGGGTTAGATGTATTCCCTCCCCCCCCACACACACTATTTTATTTATTTTTTTATTGTTTATTTTTTTTATTTTAAAGTATTTTGGGGGTACAAGTGTTAAGGTTATATATATTGCCCATACCCCCCTCCCCTTTCAAGTAAGAGCTTCAAGTGTGTCTGTGGTAGATTCTTAAGGAAAAGTATTACAGTATTAAAGGATAACACTTGGAAATAGGGAAGTAAGACTTCCAATTACAGCAGACCAAGCCAATCCCATCCAGGCAGTGGATCCCTTCGACCAAGCAGAGACCTTGGTGTCTCTCACTCTACCTGGGCCACTCTCCACATTCCATGTTCTACTAGGTTGGAGTCCAAAGCCTATCAAAAATTGGGGTATCCATTAGCAGAATCTCTCTCTCTCTCTCTCTCTCTCTCTCTCTCTCTCTGTGTGTGTGTGTGTGTGTGTGTGTGTTAGATTGCACAAAACTCTTACTCCACACTGAATATGCTTCTTATGTTCTTTCATGGTATCAAATGATGTACCAGGATCCCAAGGGGAAACAGATGGCTTGTCAAAATGATAATAATTCAAGGGGGGCTTTCTAAGGGGCAACCACAGGGGATAATGCAGTATCCTGGAGTTGGTAACAATGGAGCTTTTATCTATGTCCAAAAAAAAAAAAAAAAGAAGAAGAAGAGAGAGAGCAATTTATAGCCCCTGAAAAAATAAAGTATGCAAGCTTCTCTGCATGTCTCTAGAAAGGTCTGCCAACTTGAAGTAGCCCAACAGGGTGAGCACCAGGAAAATACATACCCTTGAATTCAGTAGAGACATTTTGAAGTTGTCTCAGTCTCTGCTAGTTTAAATACTTTCTGAAGTAACTCTCTTAATGTTCCCAATCTGTTGAAAGTGTTTCATTCCTGAGGAGAAACCAAAGGTAGAAAATTCTTCTACCAAAGCACACTCAAAACAATGCAGACTTTCTGATATGATGAGTAAAACACTAATCTAAAATGATTCCTTAAATGTGCTCCTCTTCCAGCCATTAAGATGTTAGAAAAGAAAAATTATAAAAGTTTGCTACTTGTTAGTCTTTATAATTAAATACATGGGAAACTGATATTTTTTTTTGGATACAGTGTGAATATATTTAACCCATGACAAAACTCTTAGATTTTAAATTGGAAGGAAGTCCACTCTAGAGCCCTCTCTTAAATGCCCAGCATTGTTTCAGAAAGCCATCAGGGTCAAATGTCTATAGTCTTAACCACAGAGCTATTTCAATCTAGAGACCTTCTACTGTGTCCTGCTCTATTCAGTATATTTTTTCATTTAAAAATTCCAGTTGGTGAGTCTGGATGGCCAAGTGGTCTAAGGAACTAGACTCAAGCTTTGCACTTCCCATAAAAATTCCAGTTGGATCTATTCTATTAATTACCTTTCTACCCAAAAGAATAAGCCAAATTCTTTTCAAGTTCTAACCTGGATATGGCAAAGTACTTCCTCAAAAATGTCATAAATAGCATTTATGAAAATGCCATAAAATATGGCAGTTTCTCTGTCATCAAATTCTCTGTTGGCCAAGGGAATCCTTTTATTCCCTGCAGGCCTTTCAAAAATCCTTTTATTACCGTCCTCCTTTTATTCCCTGCAGGCCTTTCAAAAATTATATTAATATATGCTATAAAAGCTTTGTTAGGGTCTATTGCTGTAAATTATTACCACATATAATAGTTCATTCCCCTATAATTAACCTTCTACCAGCATTACCAATAAATCATGCTTCTCTTTCTTATCTGCTCCTGTTAATCTTATAACATCCTGGTGTTAAGGGTAGTCCTAATTAATTAAAATTTATCCTTCAAGCCGTCCATGCTACTTACTATACATACTTTGCAAAACAGTTTGTCTTCTTATGAGTTTATTGTTTACAAGTTAGGCCAGAGTCCTCCTACTTCCAACTGGGGTAGGGAGTATAACAAATGAGAAAGTACATCATTCCTTGTCTTATGCTTTAAGACTAATTAAATCAAATCCTTTAATACCAAAGCATGAAAAGAACTTTCTTGATGCTTAAGATAGATAACTTTTTTTTATTTTTTTTTGAGACAGGGTCTCACACTGTTGCCCTGGCTAGAGTGCCATGGCACCAGCCTAGCTCACAGCAACCTCAAACTCCTGGGCTCAAGCAATCCTCCTGCCTCCACCTCCCAAGTAGCTGGGACTATAGGGATGTACCACCATGCCCGGCTAATTTTTTCTATATATTTCTAGTTGGCCAATTAATTTGTTTCTATTTTTAATAGAGACGGAGTCTCAGTCTTGCTCAGGCTGGTTTTGAACTCCTGACCTTAAGCAATCCTCCTGCCTCGGCCTCCCAGAGTGCTAGAATTACAGGCATGAGCCACCGCGCCAGACCCAAGATAGGTAACTTTTTAAGACAATGTAGGATACTTAAAACAAAAAAATCCTGTCATACCTAATAAGTAACATAAACAGAAGATTAGCTTCAAGATAATGTAGATAATTACATGATGGTATACTTTATCTTTCATTCATTTGTTCAAGAAATATTAACCATTACTAAGCCAAACATTTACCAAACACTGTTCTAGGCATTGTTTATGGGCTCTTCCACAAATTTAGATGTTGTCTGGAAGGAAAACGTCAGGGCACCAAACATATTACCCCTGGATTGGTCTAAAATAGGCAGAATTTGGGGGGATGGGTCATAGATCTAGCCCAGTTTGCTGTTTCTTATAATCTTATAACATTTTATTGTGTACCTTGATTTACTCAAATGTACAAGCATAATGCTACCTAACCCAACTCCTTTGTTCTGAGTGATTTTAAAGATTAGTATAAACAGACAAAAATAAATATGCAGACTAAAGTCTTACCTGTTCACTTGATTAAAAAAGATGGATGTTTTGGCCAAAAGTGGACATTTTCTGCCCTGTGTATATTGCTAAACCAGTTTCTCCAAAATCAAAGTTTCCTTTTCTACCACCTTTATTCACCATCCTACTGCTCACATCTTCAGAGTTTCAGTTTATCCAGACTTATGCATTGAATTCTAGCAAACCAAAAGAATGTTCATAAAATACAATTACTGACCAAATAACTCCCAAATGCTATTGATTTGCTTTCTTTCTAATAGACAAACATATAGGAACAATAATAAAATGTCAAAGGAACTGAAATTCTGCCCACTCCTGTCACATGAATTGTCTCCTCCTTCAAAAACAAGTAATTATTTACAAAGCTGGTTTAAAAAGTAGTTTAGATTTTGCTTTCATTTAGAATTGCTCTGTCCTGTATTTTGTTTTTCTTCTATGACTTAAAAATAATTTTATTGTACATATGATTCCAAGTATTTAAAACAAAATCATTTTAGTTTAAAAAAAACAGAAAAACAACATAGGAAAAAACATGGCACAGGTTATGAAAACAGTCATTGAAACAAAGGTTATCTCGGGTTAAAAAGGAAATCAACAGTGCAGCATAAGCAAAAAGATCTTTCTAAGATTGTACTTGTTGACTAGAAGGTGACTGATAATTATAAGAGCAAACATACCTGCCCTCTTCTACTATTCAAAATACCTGTCATGACATGTAGTTATGTAGAATCTTACCTTACAGGGGAAGATCACAGGTTACTATATCACTGCTTTTTGAGTCAAATTAAAAATCATACTTCAGTGTTTTTAAAAAAGTTAAATGAAATCCAGAAAAGCAAATAAGAGGCAAATAGAGAAAAAGAGAAGGAAGCTAGATGCATCAGATGCATGCCTGTCTTTCTGGAAGAAGGGTTTCTGGGGGCTTTTTTTTTTTTTTTTAGATAACCTCTAGCTACAGCTACTGTTGAGGTTAGCCTGAGCATCGCGTGCCATTCTTGAAGGGTCCAAGGGACTGACTCATTTTCTCTATCATTTCTCATGAAAACAAGAGGTGGCAGCCATCACCAGAGAGCCAAAGGTGACTTGGTGACTGATCTCATTACTGAACTGAGGAGAGCAATCACACGCGAGGTTCAGAACCTCCCCACTCCCAGAGAAATTCACAGAAGGGCAGTTATTTCCATCCAAGAAGACAGGTGGCAACTGAAAACACAGATGTGAAGAAAAGAAGAAGAAAAATCTTTTTCAAAAATATAGCAATAGCAACAAAGAGTCAGGGTTTTTCTAGTCCCCACTTACACACCATGCTCTGAACTGTATCTCACAGATTAAAACAGAATTGATCACTGTTCTGTATTTTTAAAATTCTCTCCCTTTCTAAATGCATGACTTCACTTTTAACTGTCCAAAGAATGCTTTATAGTTTACTTCCTCTCAAACAGCTGCAATTTTAATAGCAGGGTGGGGGCAAATGCCTCTCGCCCACCCAAGGGGTTGAGGAATAAGTGATAAGAACAGTGAACTGGGGGAAGCAGAAGGTGGTGCCTGCTCTAAGAAAAATAATGGGAAAGTCAGTTTCCTTCTTTTCTGGGGCAGTGGGGCATGACTTTTAATTGAGCTTAACTTCACATACAGACACTAATGGGTTTTGGAAAGAAATAGCAATAACTTTGGTTGAGCACTTACTGAGGTGGAAATGAGGAGAAACAGATACTTTTCTAAATACTTTACAAGCATCCCCATTTCACTTCTTAAAATAACCAGGAGAGAGAAATTTTATTATTCCAATTTTAGGATGAGAAAGTTGAGACATCAGGTTGTTGGAAAAGGAGAGTAAAAATGATGGGATCCAGGCAGAGTGACCCCATTGTCAATCCAGAGTCTGAATGTTTCAAAAGCACATCTGCCTTCTTTGTGACTAATAACCAATATTTTTGTATAACTTCAGTTAACGAAGTGGGTTCTCATATATTATCTCATATATTATCTCAATTTATCCTCAGTAAAGCACGGATTATATGCTCTATTCTTAAGTTTGTTATTCAGGTGAGAAAAATGAGTCTCAGGGCTGGTCGCAGTGGCTCATGCCTGTAATCCTAGCACTGTGGGAGGCCAAGGCAGGCAGATCGCTTGAGCTCAGGAGTTCGAGACCATCCTGAGCAAGAGTGAGATGGTGGCACATGCCTGTAGTCCCAGCTACTCGGAAGGCTCAGGCAGGAGGATGGCTTAAGCCCAGGAGTTTGAGGTTGCTGTGAGCTAGGCTGACACCACGGCACTCTAGCCCGGGCAACAGAGTGAGACTCTTTCTCAAAAAAAAAAAAAAAAAAAAAAAAGAGTCTCAGGCTGTTCTCAAGATCACTCATCTAGGAAGCGATAGAGCCATGACCAGAACCCAAGGCTTGTGCCCTCAAATCAAATCCTCTGTTCTTTCAGTTTTGCCTCCTGCCTCTCATCTCTGCTCCCCTCCTCTCCTTATGATTCATGGGAAGACTGTGAGGTCCCGGAAACTCTCACACCCACCTGCTGTCTAATCCAGAGCTTTAGCCATCAGCTTTACAGCTTCCTTCCCTCATAAAAGACAAAGGCCCTTAGAAGAGGCAGCACTTGACTCTTTCATCAGTCATTTGCACCTTAGTATGACAAAGGATCTGACATGAGTTTTTTGTTATTTTTAATAGACTTTATTTTTTAGAGCAATTTTAGATTGACAGCAAAATTGAGTAGAAGGTACAGAGATCCTCCATATATTCCTTACCCCACAAATGCATGGCCTCTTCATTATCAACATCCCCCACCAGAGTGGCACATTTGTTACACTTCATAAACGTACACTGACACATCGTAATCACCCAAAGTTCATAATTCACACTAGGGTTCACTCTTGGTGTTGTGCATTCTACAAGTTTGCACGATGACAAGTATCTGCCGTTACGGTATCATACAGAGAAGTTTCACTGCCCTAACAATCCTTTGTATTCCAACTAGGCATCCCCCCACTCCCTCAAACACTGATCTTTTTACTGTGAGGTGAGTTTTTGATGGTAGGTAAAAACTGGAAACTAGAACAACAAAAAAACAGAAATACAGAAAATGAAGACATTTAGTACTTAAGGTATATTGGGGTGAGGTGAGTGGGAGAATTGAAGACCTAAAGAGAACTCTAGCAACTGGATAAGTTAGTTAGAGGCATGCCTTTCTCTGCCTCAGCCATCCCCACGTCTTGCTGAAGACTCAGCTCCATGGTTTCAGACATTTTTTTAACAGTGAAACCCTATGCTAAATTATAAGCTTGTGTTATACCCACAATACAGTAAGTAAGAATGTAATTGACGAATTTATGTTAGAATGAAAGCTTAACTATTTTAATGAAAGTTATAGTCCTATATGTACCTCAACATCTACTTCAGCTGTTTGGGGAAAAAAGAGAAAAAGAGGAAACTGGATCTCTCTCAACCCTTATGTCAAAATACATTTCTGGTGCAGGGATGTGCCAGAGCTGGCATATACCAGCTGCCAAGAGCCAATTGTGCACATCTTTTCCTAACTGTGTGTGAAGTCACATGCATAGCTTCAAATTGGACATGATGGGAGTATTTATACTTCAGAAATTGGCAAATACTACCAATCAGAACTTTTTATTATTTTTGTTTTTTTGAGAGCCAATTTTCCAGTCATCACTGCTGGTAGGAAAAAACATGTAAGTTATAAACCAGTACATAATATATGAGTTTTTCTTTTAATGATTTGTTTAATTTATTTAATGATTTTAGATGTAGTAGAGAAAGCTTTTTATAAAATCCAAAATATTTTTAGAAGATACATTTTACTACAAAAAGTAAAAATCTTCTATACCAAAAAAATTTCATAAACAATATTACAATAAAAATTTTTAATGGGAAAAATATGTACACATATAAAAAAGGGTCAATTTTCTTATTATAGAAAGAGCTTTAACTCATAGAAAAAAGATGAACAATCCAATATAAAGATGAGTAAAAGACATCAATTGGGAGATAACAGAAATATAATTTTAATGGCCAAAAAATATATGAAAAAATGCTGGACCTCATGCATAACTAAGAAATCTAAATTGAAAAAGTATCTTTTTTTAAGCTTATAAAATGGAAAAATTCTAGTGTGAGCTGCAATGTTGAGGGTAGGTGTGGGGAAGCCCACTCATTCACTGTGGGACAGTGTTAAATTGGACATTATTAAATGAAATTTAAAATTTACATTCTTTTCAAGTCTTTTTAGTTCTCCTTATCAGAGTTTGTTTTATAGACTTTCTGCTCACAAAAATGAGCAGATGTGGATGATTATTGTGGCATTGTTTGTCTATTAGTTATCCATTGATGCATAAAAAATTATTCCAAAACTTAAAAGCTTAAAACAATAATAAACATTTTTATCTCAAACAGTTTCTGTGTCTTAGAAATTAGAGAGAAGTTGAACTGAGTGACTGTCTCATGAGGCTGTAGTCAACTTGTTGGCAGGGGTGCAATCATCTGAAGGTCCAACTGGGGCTGGATGCTCCAATTGCATCAAAATTGACTGTGGGCTGACAAGGCAGGAGGCCTAAGTGCCTCATCCCACTGACCTTCCAATACAACCGTTGGAGGATCCCCATGATATGCTAGCTGTCTTCCACCAGAGTGATTGACCCAAGACAGAAGATGGCAGAAGCCATCATGCTTTTCATGACCTAGTCCTGGAAGTTATCTATTGCCATTTCCACAGCATCTTTTTGTTGTACAGGTCAGCTCAATTCAATGAGGGAAGGGAATTACAAGGGCATGGATACCAGGGGATAAGGCTTATTGGAGGGCATCTTTTGAGACTGCCTACCACAGTTTGAAAGAGCAAAAAGAAAGAAAAGAAAAAAAATAAAGAAAGAATAAGGTACTGGGTAAATAAATCTTTAAACTTAATTAAATGCTATAGAGCCATTAAAAAGAAGGAAGCAACCCAAATGTGCTATTAAAAAATGCCCAAATATATTATAAAGTATGTAAAGTACATATTTATGTATTTATAATGAGATGCCCTCAATATTTTTGTAAAAATAGACATTTAAGCATAGTTATATGCATAAGAGGGAGAAACTTCTGCAACAACTTATAAGGAGATCTATAAATGAGTGGTGGAACCGGTGGTGATAGTGGTTAGGAGTATATAAATTTTTCTTTTATGCTCTATACTTATACTTAGTAATGTTTGAAAAAAAAGTTACAATTCAAATACGTTACATGTATAATTTTTAAAACTAGATAAAATTGTGCTCCACAGATATCTACAGGACAGATAGCCAAAGGCGGATATCATTCAGCCAAGCTCAGACAGACTTCTCCCTATCTCCTGCTCAGAGGAGTTGAGTGATTCTGAAACAGAAGTATAATGTTGATTCTCTTACTGGAGAACTGAGTGTTGCCAAACCTCCTCAGTCTCCAGGTCTCCATCCTCTGCTAAACTGAATTAACAAGAGACAGTAATTATCCCCAAAATAGAAATATACTGTGGCTGATTTCTCCCCATTCTGAAGCCACAGGGTCCCTTAGAGAATCTGGCAGCTTAGAACCTGCAGGGATGGCAGGCTTTGCAGTAGACAGCAGTGACACAGGGTCACAGCACAATGGGAAGCCTCTCACCTTTCCAAAATGTTAGCCAAACTCAGCTCTGGTGGAATCCCAAAGTATCCACTACCAGGAAGGCTGGGGCATTTGAACTCTTGTCCTAGAAAATCTTCGGGAACTGTGGCTGCTGGGAGTTGAATGATTGCTCTTGATGGATTATCCTGAAGGGTTGTAGACCCAGGTCAGCCCAGACTCAGTTTATTACAAGGTAAAGTTTGGAGTTTGAACCCTCAGAAGAAGTGCTTTGGGATAGCTGAAAATTATCTACAGCAAGAATCAGCAAAAAGCTCTGAGCCACAGAGCTTTGAAGGAAGTCTCCCAATAGCTGTGTCAAAATGCAATAATACATTAATGCATTAATGCAACAATAATGATGATAATTATAAAGATACAGCTAATATTTATTGAGTAATTATTATTCGCTTACTATTAATAATTATACTCACAGATGAAAAATATGAGAATTGGAGAAGCTAAGCAATCTTCCAAAGATGTTACACATCTTTAAAAAATTTTTCAGTTTCAACAAATAATTCAAAAATGTGTCTTTAGAAAGGAAATTTGAATCAAACATTTTTAAAACTTCTGAAGCAAGACAATCAGAAAACCACTGCTTTGCTGATTCATCACTGGAACCAACAGGTGAGATTTATAGAAGGGTAGATTTCCGTTCAGTATAAAGTAAAAGCTTATTTATGATTAAACTATCCAATCATTGGATGAAATTTTCTGAGAGGTAGTAAGTTC